TTCCTAATAGCCCCTATAGTCTTCTTCGTCCGTCACTCCATCGACACCGACAATCTTCTTTTTCCCTTCTAGGACTACTTTTAGCCTTCCTTTTGTCTTGTTGTCCCATGCGTAGAAGACTTGCATAACATCTCTTGCAAGGACGAAGGGGTCGTCTCTGTATGCGGTCTTAGTGAGATCAACGGTAGTGAACCCTTTGCTGTCAGTGTTGATTTCCTCGAGCCGGACCCACTAGCAACGAAAAAGAGCTGCCTTCAACGGACCATAGGCTAGCTCCCATATCTCCTCTATGAAACCATAGTATGTCGCATGCACGTTGCCGTTCTTGTCGTGAGCATCAAAACGAACACCACAATTTTGGTATGTGTTCTTTCCATCTTGCTTTTTTGTATTAAATGTGAATCCATTGATCTCATACCCTTGGTACTTAAGATATGTACTCGAAGGTCCCTTGGCTAAGGCATCCAGTTGATTACCCAACTTTATTCCAAGCAAGCGACGTCGCAACCAGCTGACAAATTCCTCCTTTTGTTTTTTATCCAGCCAAGCCTGTGACCTGCTCGGATACAGAGTTTGCAGCGATTGCCTGTGCTCGTCAATGTATGACATCACACCCTCGGCTTGCTGGAGAACAATGAACAATGCCTGTCTAAAAGAAATAGGGTCGTCTACTGTAACAAATTTCTCCCTGATCGTTCCTTTGCCATGTAGTCTTCCCTCATGACGAGATTCTGGGACTCCGACCCTTTCGATGTCCAGATAATATGTGTAGAACTCAATGGCCTCCTCCGTTGACCATCCTTCAACCATGCCCCCTTCTGGCCTGAATCTGTTCTTAACATACCTCCTGAAAACTTTCATCAATCTTTCGAAAGGAAACATCTGATGCAGGTACATTGGACCAAGGGCTCTCATTTGGTCAACAAGATGAATGAGCAGATGCAATGAGATATCAAAGTAAGTCGGCGAGAAATGCATCTCAAGCCTAACGAGAGTTTCGGCTATGTCCCGCTGCAGCTGCTCTAGCGTGGACACATCAATGACCTTTTTTGAGATCACGTTGAAGAACGAGCAAAGCTTTATGATTGGAGCGCGGACCTTTGGGGGGAGGATACCACGCAGGGCAATAGGGAGCAGCTGAGTCATAATGAAATGATAGTCATGGGCCTTCATAGGGCCATAGTTGAACTTGAGTTCTCTCATGTTCACTAGCCTCTTCGGGTTCTCATAGTAGCCCATCGAGACTTTGAGTTCATTAAAGAAAGAAATAAGCGCACGCTTTTCTTTCTTCTTCAATGTCCATGACGCAACCGGAAGTTCAAACTGGCCATTCTCTAGCTCCACGGGATGCAGCTCCTTCCTGATTCCCAAGTGTTGCATGTCCAGGCGTGTGGCTAGTGAATCCTTCGATGTCCCCCCGCTGTCCATCAAGGTGTTAAGAGTGTTAGCGCACACGTTTTTAGTGATGTGCATGGGATCAAGATAGTGGCGTACACTCAGAAATGGTCAGTAAGGTAGTTTCCAGAAAACCAATTTTTTCTTCCAAACCCTCCCATTAGGCGCTGCTACTGCATTGTCCCCCTTCCCAAGGACAACCTCCAGTTTGTTGAGTTCTCGAAGTATCGCAGGCCCGTCTTGATATTTTGGAGCTTAGCGTTTCTCAATAGTACCATTGAAATCTTTTCTGTTCCTAGGGTAAGGGTGATCCTTAGGTAGGAACCTACAGTGTCCCATATAAACTATCTTTGAGTTATTTGGCAGATTTACCGCATCGGTGTCGTCCAAGCACTTGACACATCCAGTATAGCCTTTTTTCTTCTCTCCGGACAACGAACCTCGACCTGGTAGGTCGGTGATTGTAGCGATAAGTACTCCCTTGATCGTGACATGTTCCTTTTTGTACTCGTCCCAAACATCCGGCACACCCTTTTCAAACATGTCTACTAGTTCATCGATCACTGGTTCCAGAAACACATCGATGTCATTCCCAGGTTGTCTTGGCCCTTGGATCAGTAGTGGCATCTGGATGTACGACCGCTTCATACAGACCCAAGGTGGAAGGTTTTATATATAGAGCGTCACTGGCCAGGTGCTATGATTGCTTCTAACCTAGTCGAAAGGATTCATCCCATCTATGCTCAAAGCAAACCAAAAGTGCCTTGCCTCTCCACCGATGTCCTTATAGAACATAGTATTGACAGTCCTCCAGTCATGCCCATCGGCGGGGTGCCTCATCATTGTATCTTTCTTACGCTCTTCGTCATGCCAGCGCAACAGCTTGGCTGACTTTGCACATGCAAACAGCCTATGCAACCGGGGAGCTATAGGGAAATACCAAATGACCTTTATGGGACCTCCTCTGGTCTTGGTACCCTCATCTGACGGCCCTTCCTTGTACCGTGGAGCTTCACACTTGGGGCACTTGTCCAAGTCTTTGTATTTTTCTCCACGGTACAATATGCAATCATTGGAACACGCATGGATTTTTTCAACCTCAAGGCCGATGGGGCAGATCATTTGCTTGGCCAAGTATGTCTTTTCTGGCAACTCATTTTTTTCTGGGAGCATTTTCCTTATTATACCTAACAACTGATCGAAGCCTTTATCACTCAATCCGTTTGTCGATTTGAACTCTAACAGCATGATGTCGGCTTCGAGTTTACTCATTGGACAATTCCTATACAATGGTGTTTTGCCATCTTGTCTCATTTTCTCTAGCTTTCTCAGCTGTCTTTCACTAAGACATCTGATCTCTACATTACGTAGCAGCTGAGAAATGCCATCATTATCCTCGGTGTCGTCAGCTAGCGTGTTCCTAAACACATTATTAATTGTGGCCATAGGTTCCGTGTTGACACCGTGTTCCTCGTCAGCATCGTGGATGGCTACGTCAGGCATGTCCACATCATCATCATTTTCCTGCAGAACAATCACACCAACCTCGCCATGCATAGTCCATATCGTATAGTTTGGCATGAACCCCCTGGTAATCAAGTGCGATCGTATAGACTCAATTTGACGAAAGTTCCTATGATTCTTGCAATCTTTGCATGGGCAGAAGACAGGGTTCCCATTCCCAGTATGGGCTTTGGCATTGGTGATAAACTGGCTGACGCCATGCATGTACCGCTTGTCCGTTCTGGACAGATGCATCCACTCTCGATCCATCTCTGCACAAAAAAATACTGAGACAGTAATTACAAAGAATTAATAAGAAATCGAGCTTCATGAACAACAATTGTAGCTCAAAAGTACCATTTTTGGAAAACATTATTGTACACTAATTATTGAAAAATTGAAATTGGTAGCCCCGGCCCTGTAAATTGAAAATCGTAGTAAAACACAATTATTGCACAATATTGAAGAACAACTATTCTACTCTACTTCTAAGAACTAATTATAGCATCACATACTAACAATGATGATCTTGACCACCATGGAATAATTAGCTAGGAATTTAAATGTGTTCATAGACACCAACCTTTTGGATGATGGATTCACCACAATTTGGGCCTTGCACAAATGTCCAATTGGAAAAGTGCTCTCTAGAATGGAGAAAGAACTAGAATGAGAATTAAGCAATGTAGCTATCAAAACGAAGCTAATTAAGCAACAAAATCAAAGGAGTGGATGTTTGTTACTAACCTTAAAGCAAAAAGATCAAGCCATTCTTCAAAATCCAAGCACTAGCTTCATGGTGAAGAGCAGCCGCAACAATGGAGGGAAGGGTCCAAACGCGCGCCTCTGTTCTCGGGATTGAAGCGAGGAGGAAGGAGAGGACGACTGCAGCCTTTTTGTGTTGTAGGCTTATCACTGTCGGTTCTTGGCTAGAACCGATAGTGATAGTGCCTAATTACTGGCGGCTCTTGGCTTAAACCGGCAGTGATGAGTGCCCGCCAAAACACTGCTGGTTCAAGCCACAAACCGACAGTGATATGGTCCTTCACTGCCGGTTTTAGCCCAGCACCAATCATTTTTTTCATTTTCAAGCTCATAACTGGCTGTGAAGGTACATCACTGCCGGTTCTCACAAATCCGGCAGTGATGAGGCCGGCAGTGATGTGCAAATCTGGCGTAGTGATAGCTGCCACGTAATGGAACCCACGAAACCCATCTTGTCTCCTAGTTACATAGGCTAGTATGCATTCAAGTATTCAAGTGATCATATTACTCTGAAGATTTAGAGATGCATTGATGTTCTAGTGATGTTTCTAGAGTGTTTTCTTGTGTCTCGTTGAGCCACTATGCCTCTGACCACTGAAGCAAGATGGACAAATATTGGTTTTTGAATTGAAACTACCCACTAAATATATTAAATCCCATCCATTTTAGATTATGTATGTACATAATTCTAGCTCCGCTGTGTTTATTTGCACATTTCAAACTCTTTTTACTTAAAACTAAGCATTCCTGAACTTTGAGCTATTGTTTACAGTAGAAACACAAAGTGAATTGCCACATTTGCTTAACAAAAAGCTTTTGAGTTAATTGGTCAGTGTATACAACTCAATAGACTATCAGTTACAGATCTTGGGTTTGACTCCTAGTAGCCAAAAGTTAATGAAATAATTCCAGTTAACTCCTATTTTCTACATTTGATGGTTGAGGGAGCCTGCACATTTTCTTTTCTATAATAGTATTGAAAACTTGTTTATCAATTTTTAGAGGTGTTATCCTATAGCACCAATAGAAACATAAACACCTTTATCATTCGTACAAAACATCTCATAGTTTCTAGATGCTTGGTACATATTCTCGATATGTGAAAATAAAGCAACAATATAACAAAATATAACCACAACTAATATCATTTATCTAAACAACTGAAAGGGATACATGGATGCATGCATACATATTTTTAGAAACGAGACAACATGAATGTGGGCTCGAACTATTATGTGATGAAGCACAATACATGGGATGCAATGAGTGACTCTAAAACAAGACCCCTAAGACTAACAATGAAATGCAACCAAAACTATTAGAGAATGTGAGCTGTACTACAGTGCCCACGGGAGGCCTGAGCAAGAACCTTGATTGTAAGGCTGCATCATTTCACACCCACTGCTGCTGGTGTCCCCGCTGCTGCCTATTAAGGCACAATAGAGCACGGTGCCAATCTCCCCAATGTTTGGGCCTGGGCTGGCTATCGGCCAGTCTTGCTGCAACTGGTGTTCCTCTATTGCTGCCATGATTTGCATCTCATTGTAGGTGTAGGGAGAAGAAGCCTGTGTATACGACGAGGATGAAACTAGTTGCACCACCTATAATGGCTCTTGGAGGGCTCCTCGCTCGATGACAAGCTCCTAGAGTCGTGCTTTGGCTTTGCTCATCTTCATCTCCACCATCTCCAAAAGGCTAACGAACTCATCCTTGGTGGTGCCAATGAGGCCTGGGCAGCGTCCATCCAAGCTATCATACAATTGGACCAAGGTCTCATGCTCTCGATTCTCATGGTCCAACTTGCTCACCTGCTCATGGAGCCTTATCGAGCAACTGTGGAGGAATTCCTCTTGATTTTGTATCTTCGTGAAGCTGCCAACATCTGGCATGTCTTTGAATTTCTTGAGGAGTTGCTTGGCCTCTGCATCAGATGGGCCACACACCTGGTTGGGCTTGGCCATCACCATACACCACTACACAGATCTTAATGCTTGTTGGCGGCCCTTAATGATCAAATCCGACCGCCAATTAAGATCCAAAACAAGAGAAATAAACAAACTTATAACACATGCATTTATTATTGACATAGTGCCACTTGTATTGGAAGAATCATGTTTTGCAGGAATATATTTGAATATAAGTGGAAAACAAGATAAAAGGCGCAATCAGGCAAAGCATAAAGTTTGGTAGAACCTCCTGAATTATATGGCCCATATGTGCCTGTCATTGTCTTATAGACTTCTAACTGTTGCACATGGGAGCCAGACAACTCCAGAAGTCTGTCGGGTGTCCTCGGGGAGCCCTGAATCATCCACTTAATCTTTCCGAGCAGGACACATTACAAAAGACATTGCAGTATTACAATAGTTTATACAAATATATTGCATCAGAGTAAACGGCAGAAGTCTTACAAACCATAAGTTTACAAATTGTTTATTAAGTTGATACAAACTATAAGCTTTAGCCAAATAGGCAGTAGGGTAGCATGATAGATACCACTATACACACACAAAAGAGGGTTTACCCTGCCCAAGGGTGCACATCGAACTCTTCTACTGCTGGCTGTCCTTTTGCAACAAGGGTTTAACAAACCCTGAGTACAAAGGTACTCAACAAGACTTAACCGACAAAAAGGAAAGACTCCAAGAATATGCAGGCTTATGGAGAATCAAGGTAAGTCTGTAGCAAGAATCAATATTAACTTTTGCGTAAAAGCTTACTAACAATTGATCCTTACTTTCAATGTTTTAGCCCAAGTTAAGTAACAGAATTCTCTAGTTTGCATCTAGTCTAAATCAATCACTTCTTTAACCATCTCATCTCATGATCATAGTACTAATGTTTCAGTTTTTAACTACGATGCAATTCAGTTGATTGAGTCTTCTTCTCCGAGAAGCAAAGGCGATTCGAATCGATTTGGCATAGCTGAGGTTTCCTTACCACACGACATATGCAGGTCCCGGTCTCGGATGTACATATATCAACCTTCACTTGGATCCTCCAAAATGTGAACCGGTCTACGCTACCCGAGAGCACAGTACTCTACCTCCCTGCGCCACTCCTGGTGGATTCACAGGATGGGTACACGCTACTCTCACCATCTCCCACACCCAGTGCACAGTAGTCTTTTCACATAATAGAGTAACCAAGGTATCAGGCTTACCGAAGTATGTTGCTAGTACTACAAGTCAATATCACAAGCGGCCCTACAACAATTGGTCCTTAATCGATACAGGCGGGGCACTACGTCAAGACAACATTCTTGACGTAAGCAAAGGGTCCGCCTGAAACATCCTCAATTTTCCTTAAAGCTAAAATCCACATAATGAATTTTAATATGATAAAACCAAGAACTGATTCCATCATATTATCATATTTCAGTCGATGTCACAGTCATACATCGTAAGATTACAAGAATACGAGATATTACATCACTGGGGAACACACCTATTACAGAGTTAATCTAGCGGAAGACTATCGAGTGAAGGCTCCTCCTTCACGGGTCATCATTAAAGTTGGCATAGTGCAGCGTAGATTCCATCTCCGAACCAAACTTGAGCGTAGGCACGAGACCTCCTAATCCTTCTAAAGTCAGCATCTCTGAGAAGCAGGAAATCTGCACACCGCCAGATGTGTGCAGGCCATGGTCAGCACCGATGAGCTTTAGTGGAAAAGATAAACAAGGGATCTGGCGATCCTAGTATTTGGCTGTGGTTTGCATCCTTAGCGCATGAGAAGTAAATAACATTAGTAATATAATGATATCCAATTTTTAACACATTCACCACCACACCATCCATATCCATCCATCAACCATCCATCCCAAACCATCTCCACACCACCACACCATATCTCATCTCACACACTCAGGTCGACAGGCCAACTCCCCCTCGTCCTTGTCTCAACGGCCCACAGCCCCCAAGGCTCACGACCGGAAAATACCCCAACCCTAGAGGGAGGAGAGAAGGACTCATCTCCTATCTAGTTTAAGCGAAACCCAGGAAAGGTCCATAGCCAACGAGTCGGCATATGTATCGATCGATCAACCAAACACTCTACAGAGGTTTTACATACCCACAAGATTAGCCATCCTCGGAGCCATGTATCTCCTAGGCATAATTCCGGTCGCTTGCTAGCCTAGAACGATGCCACCCTACCTCTCAGCCCTGGAACATCCCAAGTCTAGTCTGTGATGGCTGATACTGTGAGTCGTAGACAGAGCGGGGGCCCTCCGGATGTCAAGAGCCGAGTCCTCAAGGCCTCCTGAAGTCTCGGAAGGGTGTGGGGGGAAAACCGCGCGCCTCATACCTCCTTGCACATGTTCGCCTAGTAGTAGTGGCATCACTCTACCAAGTAGTCCGACCGTCCCGCACCATATAGGGCGAGTGGGATGTAAAGGATTCCCGGTGAATCTGAGTACTAGTAAGTCCTTAGGGATTGACCAAGCCATAATGTCTTCATCAGGGTTTCCATTTTACGTGCCACCACAGCACCTCCACCCCAGGCTCCACCTCTCCGAGGTTCGCACCCAAGGCCACCTCCAATTACCATTTACCCGCCACAGGTATTCCATATCCAAGTGCCCAGGGAGCACCACATGGCAAGACTCGCCCCATGCTCGTCGTTATTCCAGCTCGGTCGACACAACCCTCACTCTCCACACACCCAAGACACACGCAGCACTCTCACACACCACCAAGTCCGGCACCCATAGCCAAACCATTCCCAGGGGGTTCACCACCAACATCACATCCCCGACATAATGCGAAGTGGAGTTAATAATAAGTATAGTGGTGTAATATGCAGGCAAGCAGGCAAGTAAGCATATATAAGCGAGCGAATGCGCAAGGCAAGGTGACGTGGTAGAGTGGGTTGCATCAGGGTAATAATGGCTCAGGTAGTAGCATGCATCAAAGTACTAGCAAAGGAATAATTTATAAAGCACTAGCAGTTCTAGATATTATGCAATGTCTAATAGGATTCTCTAAAAGAGGGTGTTGCCATGACACCTGCGATGTCGAGGTAGTAGTGGTATAGTTCTCCATTCGTTGGTGTTCCATTAGCGGGGTCACCTCCTCCTGCATTGACTCCATTCCTCAGTCCTTGTCGTCGTCCACGTTCTCTTGGTCCGATCGTCAGCTACTTCGTGAAGCGACACGCAAGGCAAGAGAGCACCCAACACTCGAAAAGATGACAAGACGCAGGAAAATCCAATAACACCAGCGAGGCAATAAGAGATACATGGCTTAGCCCTCTCGGCGGTTGTCCGATTTCCTCGGGCCAAAGAATCACAAGTGGTGATTTGCTAAGCACAAGCTTAAGTCATGGCCAAGCCAGTATGGCTTTAGGATAGATGGTTTAAGCCAAAGCTTATCCATAGCAACACCACGGCTCACGATCTTTCGATCCGGTGTCATTGAATTGACGGGGATTGGAAGTCGGGCCCCAAGAAGAAGAATGACAGGGTTCGGCTCTTGTAACCTTATCCCGCAAGTCACAATTGGACACAAGTAGTAAACAAGAACGATTAACACTATTGTAACTTGGCTCCAACGTACTTTGGCTCGCCCGCTATGGTAGAAAGCAGTAGCGCAAAGAGATTGGACATCAACGGTTCTCCTCGATCCACATGACACAATAACATCGGGAGCCGAGAAGAGAGTCGCTCAACACGACAAAAGATGCAGGGGTTAGCTAGGCACATCTACGTCACGTTCTCAGACACATCTTCGGGAAAGATGGTTTTAGACGGACGATCGGGTCGACACGCATGGGTCTGAGGTACGACTTAGACCATAGCTTTGCTAACCCAAAGGGAATAGTCCGGTCTTTGATCCAATCGTCATGGGCAAGATGGAATCGAACAGAGCCGGCTAACGGTGCAACAAGAGCAAGAACAACAAGGGACAAGGTCTACTTCTTCCAACACTCGCGCCACGACGAAAGACGGGGCATTGGAAGGAAGCGACAAACACCAAGTGCGCAACTACTCGTAGGGTACCCGACTTAGGTGCACTGGCACTAAGACATCTCTAGGGTTCTTAGCGGTGCAGTTGTCACCGCAAGAACCACAGAAATGCTATGGTCCAAATGGGTACAACCATACAAGAGCTTAAGCACGAAAGAGAGAAACACGAGATTCACATTCCTTTGATCCACTTGCGATAGCAACGACGAGAATCAAATGAATGAAATCAAAAGGGCAATAAACACCAATCTAGCAAAAGGCTCAATCCACATCTTTACTAGATCGATGGGGATTGAGAACGAAAGAGAGAGAAGAATGGAATCTGTACTCTTTCGACCAACTTGTCATGGAACGGACGAAGGTTGGAGAAAAGGGGTACAGTCCCACGACCCAAACAAACTCATAGGGCATCACGACCGTGCAACTAAATGGCACAATGTTATTCCCTCGGTTCGCAGCAGTGCGGTTGTCACCGCTTAGGTCTGAAGGAATGCTATGGTCAAGGTGGTGCAATCATATAAGGTGGCTAGGATAAACACAGGTGAAAAGAGGTAGAGCTCGATGGTCAAGGCGAGAGGACTCGCAGCCATGAGCTTATCCTACACGAGTTGACATCCGTCTTCTACAATCATCATATCCCGACTCATCCACTAAGTTAGGACACAAAGGGCTCATTGTGTGCGGGTGATATCCGCACCAATGTTCAGTCCACAATGGCCAGGTCCTAGGGCCGAATCGGATTACTAATATTTGTAGTACGTCGGAGACAACTAAAAGCGAGGGAGCGAGTTATGCTCGCCATTACGGCCACGGTGGGGCGAACCCACTACCGAAATGGTCGAACGAGGTACGATCCCTCGACCGGCTTGAAGGCACGGTCCTTAGGCAAACAAGCACAATCATAAAAACAAGAATCCCGACAACCCAGCATAAGAGCTAAGACACGACCACACGAATGGAGTAGCACATATCCATAGCGAGAAAGGTAGATAG